TTGTCAGCCCCCCGGCTGCTCTATTGCAGGCATCCCCGATTCAGCTACTGCTGAAACTGACCAGCAGCGGCTGAATCAGGGACACCTGGGGCAGAGCTGGACTATCGTAAGGGGGGGGCTATGAGGGGTCTGGGGTGGCATTCCCTCCCACCCCACTCCAGACCCCTCATAATCCCCCCTTCTGATAGTCCGGCATATCTGATAGTCCGGCACCCCCTGGGTCCTAAAGGTGCCAGATTATTAGAAGTTTACTGTACAACAGTAAATTAAACTCGGGATGTCAACATGTAGTTGACTGTACTATTAAACAATAAGCATAGGCTTATCACTTAATCTTGTTGACTACACGCATTCCTCCCTCATTGCTGCTTCTGTATTAGAGGCAGCAAGGTAGGGTGGGGAAAGCAGGAGCTGGTGCCCAGGAGGAACTGGCTTAAAAGCTGGCTCCCTACGAGCACCGGATCTGCCTGCCCTCCCTGCCTCTGATAGAGAGACAACAGTGTGGAGGGTAGGCTGGAGCTGATAAACATAGAAAGCTGGCTATCAAGCTAGCTCCCTGCATGTATTGGCTCTGCATCCCCCCTGCCCATCCCTCCACTTGCTGCCTCCTATGAGGAGGGGGCAGGCAGGAGCTGGTGCTGGGAGGATCTGGCTTACCACAGTACTGGCTCTATGGTGCCACCTTCCTCCCCTTTGCTTACCCCTGCAGTGCTGCCATGCTCAAGGGTGGGGGTGGTATGTGCAGGGGAGGCTGCCATGAAGCAGTTCTTTCAGAAACGGGCCCAAGCTCCCTGCAGACAGAGGCTGCTCTGAATCCCACAGTGCAGCCTCTGTGAGGCACGCAGGCCCACAGCGGCAGGGGCTGCTATCATCTTGCATTGCTGCCTCTGTATCAGAGGCAGCAGCGTGGGTTGGCAGGGAGGCTCCCCAAGAATGGCTAGGAGTGCACTGACCCGACCCCAGGGACTATCGAATAGTCGTGTAACAGCTAAAATTCCATGTGGTTCTATGACTATTCAATTACACAATTGCTAACATCCCTAAATCAAACTTTTCCTAGAATATTTGGTATTTTTTCATTTTTAATTTTGGATGGCTAAGCTACAAAAGATTAGATTGGGGTGGGGAACCTTTTTGAGGCAGGGGCTCCTGATGCACAGAAAAATCAATCGGGCCACACACAAGAAGCAAAAAGAAAAAAATCCTCACAGACATGGCCCCCAACTGAAGAGAAAGACACTCCCCACATTCCGTTTGCACACTAGAGCCTAAGGAGTGCAGGTTAGTAGATTTTGTGTGCTCCAGCCCCATGGTAGGAAGACTGATCCAAGCAAGCCAGGGGCTGCATCAGGCCTTAGGTTCTCCACCTGTGTCTTAGATGAACTTCAGTATTTTATATTAATGTATGTTGTTTAGATGCTCACAGTAGCAGTTTTGACTTGCTCTATCAATCTTTCAGATCTAGTGAAGTATCTATGTTGAGACCTCTCTGCCCTTAATGGAGTAAACATGAATTAAAATTCTTACCTTTTCTAGCCACCAGTACACTTGCAACTGTGTCTGGTATGCTTGTCCCTGCTGCTAGTAATGTAAGACCCATTACTGTTTCTGGAATTGCCAGGGTATCACCTATAGTGGAAAAAACAAGGAAACAGAGTCTTAACACATTTAATTGCTGAAGCCGTGCCCAAAGAAACTGCCATGAATCCATGCTTACCAGAGAAAGGAAGGATTGGTACTTATGTGTTAATTCCAAAAAGACACTATCAGAGTCAGTAAAAATTCAGGATAGCTTAACTTTATTTACTGAAATCATACAGCTTGACACTGATTTTTAATTTTTTTAACTAGTTGGTGGTTATTTGAACGAGCAAGCACCTGTCTCATCATACCAAAATATTGATAACATGACATGGCATTTGTTTTCAGCTTTGAAAATAAGTCATGCCCACTCACAGGTAGAAGGCCATTTCTGACAATGGTTTCACTTTTGAACTACTGCAAATAGACTAATCCCTTATGTTTTGGGCATTTTATTACATGATTCTGGAAGTCACATGAAGCAGTAACCCTTTAATCATTCTCTCTTGAAAAAAAGCACATGAACTCCCTGGGGAGACATGAAAAGATTTGAAATAATCCTTACTACTGTATTGTCCAAATTCATTGCTGTGAAACTTCAGTTGAAAAATGTAACTTTCCAAGTCTTAAGTCATGTGTAGAAAAATGCAAAGTAAAATATAATTCCAGTACTTCTAGTTGTTTAGAAGCCTATATTTCCTACAGGGTAAATGCTAGTTTTCTCACATTAACTTTCTTTCCCCTCCCCCTCCCCCCGTAGAAACCATTAATATTTTGAAAATAGTTTAACTCCTAACTTACATCTTTGTGTTCCAGTTGTTTAAAATTTAGGGCTAGAACTGATGGACTTGGATTTGATTCTATATTTTGGGGCTAATCTTGAGTACCCTGTAGTTTTGATTTTAGTATCAGGCAGATGATGTCTCCTAATGCAGTATTCATAAAACTTGGGAGGAACAATGAAGGATTTGATATCTTGTTTAAACTCTTGTTTGTAATGGATAATTTAAATCTTAATTCGCTTTACTCTGAAGAGTGTTATTTTCTATCTTGGGCTAAAAGATGTATGCTTCAGCTCTCTTGTCATACCATTTCTTTTTTACCCTCTTGGTTTACAAGATGACTTTCTTCCTACACTGATCCCTTAACCTGGAAGTTTTTCTACCTTGATTTTTTTTTTTTTTTTTTTGCTGTGGGCCTTTACTAGTAAGTTTTGACAAACAGTAATAAGTAGTTTTGCTAGAATGAATTCTGCACTAGATTGTCTATAAAGTTGGGTGCACTATAGTTGCATGCAAGATATATTAGTTTAGGTCAGAGGCAAAACTTTAACATGGGAATGTAAAACTACTTTTCTGTTAGGATTGAAAATTATTCTGTTCTTTGTATGCACCAGTATTAAGTTCCTGTACAAACTCTGTGAAATCAAGGAGCAGTTTAGGTGTATTACATTATCTTCTACAAAAATTGATTTGTGAAAAGAATCCAGGTTGACTCTACAGGGCAAGCTAAAGCTTTATTTTGTAAATAGAATAAACTTAGTTTGAGGTTGGTGAGACACAGGCCCCTCCCAATACCACCTTTAATCACCTGTCAAAGTAGACCAGCACACTGTCCTTTTTGAAACTTTGGCATACTACAATCACATTGTCATAGCTCTAAATAGCAGGTCAGCAATAGCTCTCGCCTGCAATACTGGAGATTTTCAGAGATTCCTAACTCATTAGAGTAAGTTACCTGCTTTTACCTCGTTATGAGTGTGATGTGTTTATAAACGAGTGAGTGTAATAAGTGCTGAATGATCTCAATCAGTACACTCAACCATTTGACATCTAGTTGTGTCAAACTGCCAACAGATGCTTGCGGAGGTTTCCTTTTTCTTTAAGATATTTGGTTAAAGTTGAATTACTAGACTATGTTGGCAGACTTAAAGTGAGCTACAAAGGAGAAATGCCAGGGTTGTTATCCCCTTCCCCCATGCACATTTGCTTTTTAAGATAAAGCTTAGAAGGTTGTCTGATTTTAATTTAAATTTCATGTCTCTCCTCAAAGTAATGACTGGAGAATTTAGTCAAATTATGACTTGTGACTAGAAGTTGAGAAATTGAACAGGGAATGCAGTAATCAATGTCCAGATACACTATTGTGCTTTTACATCTATTCAACTCCTATTGCTAAAACACCAAGGAGACAGGATGACGTCATTAGAAACTTAACACTTCTGCCCCTTCGCTTAAGATGTGAGTTCATGAGAGTGCCAGAAAATACTCTTTTTCCCTGAGTTTGCTTGACATGCATAATGTAAAGGTTTAAATTTACATACACACAATTCTAGTCTTCCCCATCAGAGCTGCAAGAAAAGGCAAATCCCAATTTTTGTTAAATCTTTACTGGTCACTTAAAGAAATTAATTTATTTTTAGTGCTCTAAATGATAATTATTGATCTAACCCTTCTGATTCTTGCAACAAAATGGTTTTTAAAATTTTATAATTGCTCTTGTATGAGAGGAACTGAACCTTTATCTCCAGTCTTGGCAGATAAATTTGGTAATATGATGTCTGCTTGATAAATCGGTTTAAAACACCATGCCTGTAATGCTGTTTAAAGAACAATTTTAATGACCACAGAAGTTGTAATTATTTTTCTCAACTGCATTTTCTGTGAGCTATGAACATACAGTCTGAGACTAAGCTTTTTCAGAAGAGTACAAAACTAAGTTCTAACCTTCCCTAATTGTGGAAATAAACTATTTAGATAGGAAAAGCATTTACTTCTCAGTGACTGAGTCAGTTGACGTGATATAGCAGCAAGTAAAGAACATACCCACTATTGTTACCATCCATACAAGGATGTATGTAAATGCAGAAATCCACACAGCAGACATGAAAAATGTCACCATGAACCAGTTTTTCCAAATCTGTCTTCTGCAATTTGGTGTGGTCAAATAGAGTAGAGTAGTAATAGGAAGAGATAACACCCAGAGAATTCTTTTCAAATCTGCTTCAGGGATGGTGAAGACACTTGGAGGATCTGTTGGTGATTAAAAGGTAAGCCATTTTAAATTGTCTTTGTAATAAAGCTATGTTAGTGTAAAATCAGATAACCTGAGGCTACAAGAGCATACAAAAATACAATCTCAAAGTTTTCATTTTTGTTACTAGGAAATGTCACCTGGGTTACTATGTGTACTTAAGTAACATGAGCTTTTTTGTAGTGGGTTTGGTGCCTTCTTACTGAGTAGGTGCGTAAGTGAAGTTTTTCATAGGTACAATGATTAGTCATGTCACTTTAAAAAAAAAAATCTGCTTCCATCGCTATGCCAAACTATAGCACATCTTTTGGGGTTATAAAACTGCCCTTTTCACAGAAAAAGAGTATCACATAGTGGAGGTGGCAGTTTTATATCAAAATATTTATTAGCCTAGCTATTGAGAAGTTTCAAATATTCACTTCAAAGAATCTCTAGGTAAGTTACTCTTCCATTATTTATAGTTCATGTATGGCTCAAATGAATGACTGCTCTGGCATTCCTCCAGTGGATAATCTTATACAACCAGCCCTGTGTTTTTATTTTGCTAAAGGTCAGATTCCAAGAAGGAATAGTAGTGGATTACTCAACTAGAGTTCTTTCATAGTCTACGCCATTTGAAATTGGTCTTTCAATATACTGGAAACAGACCTCCCCAATTAGATACCGCTACCAGTCTTCTGTATTAATACCTTCAGAAATTTCATCAAGCCCATGTAAACTTATAGAGAGCTGTGAGTAGTCAGATTCGTCATGAAAAATTCCACTATCTGTTCTTGATTGTCGACGAATTAGTGGTTCGCATTCTTCCTTCCAGCCAAATAATAGCTGCTGTTCCATATTTTCTTCCATAACTTTTGCAAAACAGGTACAGCAGGGACTAAACTTCTTCATAATATACTGATTGATTTTAATATCAAAACACAACACCAGAATATATAACCCATAAATTAGCAGCAGGGCAGCAGCTTCATACCTATAAAGAAAAATAGGGTCTGATATAAAAATCTAACTAGTTTTTTATCTTCAATTAAAGAACTCGATAACAAAAGCTATTTAGCTAAGTAATATTTAAATGATTGCCCACTAAGGAGATAATTACTTGGCTTTGGTAGCAGAAGAAAAATAAGTAGGAGCAAATGTTTTTGATAATCTGCATTGGGAAAATATTTCTGATTTACCAGGTTGTGTATAGATACCATAAAGGAGACTAATGTTTCTCTTTATTTTATAGCAGTTTGATTAATAGATACAGCCCCAATCCCACACTTATTTGCAAAAATATGCTAGTCTCTCTCAACTGGTAAGTAAATATTTGCCATATTGAGTCCTATTGTGCTAACCAGCCAAAGGCATGGTCTGAACACTGCCATAGATACCAGAAATTTCAGAGCTCTATTCTTGGATTTTAGCAAATTTGCTGAACGCTACACAGAGGAACTTGTAAAGGAGAGACATTAGGCCAAATCTTGTCTGGTGCAAATGGGTGCCAACTTCATTGATTTAAATAGTTTTGTCCCTTTGTACTAGAAGTGAGCCCACTACTTGTAAACACAGCTCACAAAAAATGTTGAGGATTTGAATGGTCTTTGAAAGTGAAAAGAGATTAACAAGTGAATAAAATATGAAGACTATTGGTTGTGCCAGGGAGGGGACACACCAGCGCACATTTGAAGTGTAGTGAAGGACGCCTATGCTGGTTGAGATTTATAAGCAGGAATCCACAGTATGATTAATGTAACAGACTTCATGAACCTTGGATTCAGTATACAATTCTTAAACCTACAAGATATCAATTTGTCAGTGTACAATACAGATTGCGATACTTGAAGTTAATGCTTGATTAAAAAAAAACCCCTTTGATTTTAACACTTGCTAATTTCTAATCAACATGAATTCAACACACATTGTGCACTTACCAGTAAATTCTGCTGTCATATATCATTGCAAGGACTGCTGCTGCACTAATTATATATGCCAGACTGTCTCTAAACAGTGGCCAACAAGACAGCCTCGAAACCTGCAGAACACAAATTACTTTTTCAGATCTGCTACAGTTCTTTCACCAAATAATATACATGCTGCCTTAATGTTTCTGTATCAATATAGTAACTCAAGAGTAATTAGTATTTTTTTAAAATTTATTGGGGAGTTTATCTTCTGATTTACTTTGTTTTGCTACTGAATAATAAATTGAACTATTATACTAAACTTGCTTTGAGGCTTTTGTCAGTAAACCATGGGAAATTACAATCCTTTGGCTCTAAAGAGAGGAACTATCAGTATTTTACGTACCACGCTAGATAACAACCCACAAGCAGCACAGATACCAAGAAGGTTATAGATTGCAGATCCGAGTATGGTGCTGACGCCAATGTCTCCCTTTGTCACGAATACTCCTGTAAACAAAACAGTGCTTAATGTAGTTAGCATGTTTGTGGATTGGAAATGGGAAACTATATATTCTGAATTGTTAAAGAATTGTTCGTTTTACCTAGAAAAGCAGTGACCAATTCAGGAGCAGAGCTACCAGCTGCCATAAAAGTTGCTCCAGCAACATCCTGAGAGAGGCCAAGAGCTGAAGATGGAATAAGAGTAACTTTTGTTTAATAGTAATTTTATATGCACGCTATTTACTACTAATGCATAAAAGGCAGCTCCTTACATTCTTAGCAGAAAAAGTGTCATGTATAGGTTACAAAATAAGCTATAACACAGATGCTTGGAGACCTCAAATGTCAGACAACTGATTAAGAACATTTTAATACACTTTTCTAAAGATTGGTGCATAGCTGTAAGTATTGAAATAGTTTTTGCGCTATAGTAAAGCACACAAGATTTATAAACTGGTAAGTCTAAGGTCTTTTATTTGTGGCTGAAAATTTTAATTGTCAGATTTAAATCCAAGTTCACTGTGATAGCTGTTGCTTTCTTTTCTTCACATTAGTAGAAAAAACTACTGAAGTCCAGCATTAGCAACTTGGTGAAGCATAAAACATCTGAAAACTAGTTTCAGCTTCACATTTTCTCTATTCATTTGTAAAATGCATATAGTACTACTTGCTTCATGGATCTATTGTGTGAGAATTAGGCCATGTCTATACTCACAAGTTTACAGTGACACAGTTGTACTGAGGCAGCTGTGCCACTATAAGAATTCTTGTGTAGCTATTGTATGCCAATGAGAGAGTTCTCCTGTCCACATAGTAAAACCATCTCCACAAGCTCTCCTTCCAACATAGTGTGAATAACACTATCACTTATAAAAGCGGCGAGGAGTCCTGTGGCATCTTATAGACTAACTGAAGTGTAGGAGCATAAGCTTTCGTGGGCAAAGACCCACTTTGTCTGATACTATCACTTATGTCAGCAAAACAGTCCCTGGGGGTGTATGAGGCAACAACATGGAGAGGGGGTCAGGGGAGGCTGCCGCAAAGCAGCTGCTGTCTGTGGGGAGCTCGGACCCCCAGCAGACGGGCTGCTATCACCCCATGATGCTGCCTCTGTAATAGAGGGCATGGGGCAGCAGGCAGCTGGTCTGCACAGGGAGCTGGCTTTTACACTGGCTCCTATTGTGGACTGGCTCCTGCCTGGCACCCCACGTCATGGCAAGGGGCTTCCTGGGAGTGGGGCTGGATTGCACTGACTGCCCTGGGGACGATAGAATAGTTGAGTAACTGATAAGAATTGAGGCAGTTACTCAACTATTCAGTTAACCCGATAGATTCCTTTTAGGGATGTTAGCTAGTCTGAGCTGTGTAACGCAAGCCTTGGGACTTCCCTGAACTAATTCCTATTCCGATTTTTTTCTAAAAGGTCTGGTCTAATTCAGTCTTAATTCTAAAATGCTTAGTGATGGACATTCCCCTACAATCTGAGGTACATGGTTCCAATGGTTAATTAGCCCAATACAAACGTGCGCCTTTATTTAGAGTCTGAATTTGTCTAGCTCAGTAGTACCCAACATTTTGGGGCTGCTGGGCGCCTGGGGGTGGGGCTGCTCACACGCCACGCTTTCGGGGGTGGGGCCACACATGCACTGCGTGCCCGGGGGTGGGGGCCTCCCACGTACCCTGAGCCCAGGGCCGGCGTAGGGGCCACCCAGGTACCGCGTGCCCAGGGCCGGCACCGGCATGTGCCATGACCCTGAGGCAGGGGCCGCCCATGCGCCCGGGGCTGGCACTTGCTGCACACCCGGGGGCGGGGCCAGCCCAGATTGCTCTGCGGGTGCACATAAATGGCCTGGCGGGCCCCCATGAGCACTGCGTTGGGGACCACTGGTCTAGCTTGTTTCCTACCACTAGATAGTTACACTTTACTTGCTAGATTGAGAAGTACTATTATAATTTTTTTGTTCCCTGTGTCGGTACTTGGATTGTTAGCAAATCTCCCCATAATTATCTGTTTGATCAAATTAAATATATTGAATTTGAGTCTTTCACTATAAGGAATCTTCTAATCCTTTAATCATTCTGTGGTTCTGTTTTGAACACTCCAATTTATCTACATGATGCATACAACAGGAATCCTATGGGTACTAGTGTGTATTTGTCAGCTTTTCCCAAGGTACTGGCTTCTGCAGAAAAGTTTATCTGCTTTAGTCTAGTACATCTGGTATTTTCATTTTTAATCACTTTGAAGTTAATCACTTTATTTACCCTTTTCTTTTTAGTGCTAAGCCTTGTATGTCAATCTTACACTCCTGTAGTTAACCAGCCTTAAGCACCTTCTCCCTGTACAACTAAACTAAATATTGAACACTGAACTTTCTGCCCTTATTTCTGAGTTGTATTCATATTGTGAAACTCTACCAAGAGAACAATCTTGCCAATAGCTGTTCAATTTTACAGAAATAACAAACTTAAATAACTTACATTCACTAATGATCTCTAGAGAAGGAAGGAAGTAATCATCACATACGATGGATATAGCCATAAACATGTAAAGAATAATTATGAAATAGATAATGATCCCCCCATCTTCTCGCTCCTGTT